CAGTATTCTGAAATGTTATATTTCATATCTGTTTTTATTTTTCTGGACGCTGCAATCCTTGGTCTGTGAGAAATGTTTTCAACGAAAGCAAATATAAACTATTTAAAGTTATGCCTATTTATTATTGAAGGTTTATCTATGTTGGCTGCAGTGGGCTACCTCTAAAATAAAGCCCTTGCCAGTTGTCTGCTTTATACCATACAAAGTAAGGAAATATTTTTTGTTTTATTTGGTTAGAACAACTTGTTTTTTTATTTTTTTATTACCCCCCAAGTACAAACTAGTTAAATCTTTACTACTAACCAAATAGGGAAATAAATCAGGTTCAGATCTTGGTGGCTTGTTTATTGCTATTTCTGGATGTTCCATGCTTTCTGAGGTTTCTCATATTTAAGTGCCGCTACCATCACAATCAAACTAATATTATTTGCATTCCAAAAAATTGTCAGACTCTCAGGTGTTATGATGAGCACAGAGGAAACAAACAAATATTGCATTTCTGTTAAATTAAGTACTTTGGGTTGACCAGAAAAAGTTGATCTTTAGCCACTAATCTAGAGATAAAAAAAATTTGAATATGTCATTAATCTTGCAAAAGCATATCTGTAGTGTCTGAGGAAGCACAAAAATTATGAGACAATTAAAAGAAAACTGTATTTTCATTCAAAATGTCTGCCAGTTATGGCAGGTCAGAGCTTTTAAAAATCTGAAAAAGCAATCGGCCCAAAAAGCTGCAGTTTGTTCCCTGCTACTGAACGTTCAAAGACACTTTTTGCAGATGAGAATTTCGGTTAATCCCGTGAATATGAAACCCTTTTACTTTCAGTCACTCTTTGTTCTCTACATGTACATTAGTGTGATGGACCAGTAGTTGAATTTATATTTGGCACACAAGTTTAACAGTAACCTAAGAAAGACCCACTGTAATAACATATTATAAGAATTTATATGGAGAATTCTATTGAAAAGTGTTTGTTTGCAAAATTGTGAAATCTTAGATAATTTATAAAATTTTGTGAGATTAAGGGAGGGGGAGGGAAACTGCCATATTCCTGGAGGCGACGCAGGACCTAACAGAGTAAGTTTATCTTATATATTTTCAGAAAGAATATACAACATCAGTCAGCCTATTCATGTTTCTAAAATGGATGTATAGCATTATGGAGTGGAAAAATTATTTTTTTCTTGGCAGCTATTACTCTGCACAATTGATCTACTGTGTCACAAATATATTGTTGGTGGGATTTTTGACTTGAATTAGGCCTCCTGGATGTAATACCTTAATTTACTTGAGGTTTCTTTTGAAATAAGCCATGCCCCATTGATAAGCCATACCCTCCAGACCCCTGATGTTGTGTGGTGGATGTTTAACGTTGGTAATTTTATTTATAATGGTAGTAACCGTAGGTATGATTGCGCTTGTAATTATTATTAGTGTAAGTATACTTGATTGATATGACTTGTTTTGAACAAAGGGAATGTATTCATATTTCAGGTGATTTTTTTCCGAGTGATTTAAATAAATTATTAAATCCCTAATTCTTGATTATCTCTTGTTTCACAAGACAAGCGTCTGGATCTGGGCAATTTTGCCCCTTTGCAAATTTATTTCCCTATTTTGTGTCTGCGTTTCTTAACTATATTTAGCCATTGGCTATTACCTGGTTTCAAAATTGCTCAAATGTCACATGTACTTTGACGTTATACGTTATCTTCTAAAATGTTTGTATTACATCTTTTTTATATTAATTTTGTTTCTGATTTGCAGCCATCTGATTGTTTCTGTTTTCTTCCATTATGCCATATGACACATTAGCAATCCTGATCAAACCAATATAAATGTAAGTAGATTGCGTTTATGTTGAATTATTGGTAGATAATGAAGTTTCTCATCAAACTACATTTCCCAAGAGTAGAATATAAAGAATGTAATTCAAATGTTAAGGCAGATACTAAGCATTTCCTTCATGGGTACAAGTTATCTTTTCTGTATTTTCTATTTGAATACAGAAAATGCATTTAAAAAAAAATCTTTGGCACAAAAGATTTTAGGGTTGCAAGAGCAACTTTAGGTAAGAGATATTACAGTAGGCAGCATGTAGACAGTCATTTGTGTTGTCTGGCTCTGAATGTCAACTGCAGTTGAAATATTTGGTTAAAGTCAGCAGTGTTCTGTTTTTTAAATATACTGGGAAATCAGATTAATTTTAAAGTTTAGATTGACGACCAGACAGTCAGTCAGTTTTGGACATAATAAGAGGCAGATTATTATGTACAGTGCCTACTTTTACATTTTGTAATAAACTAAAGTTGCTGGTTGGAAGTGGTCTTACCAATTTTGTGCTAAAAAGTAACCAAGTGTGTTTCCTGCAATACAGTCACAACCTGGTAATATTGGTGTTGGCTGTTCATTTCTGTTTATAAGAGGGATGGGTCCCAACTCAACCCGAAAACACAGGCTGGATCCCACTGCAGCAACAAAACACCTCCAGCGACTCTTTGCTTTACTGCTAGAAATCTCAACAGCCTCTTTGTAACAAATGAAAAAGTGATGAAACGCCACCAAGCATATTTCCTCTATCAGCTCACAGCTCCGTCCTGCGCCGCATCTAATCAAAGCCAGCACGAGTCACTCATCCAAATGTGGCTTAGCATTCAGTCACATCATCTCGGTGGCTGTAGGAGTAATGAGATGTCGGCTGTTTCCCATCAGAGATCTGTACAGGGACAACGGATGAACACCAGCCAGGACTCCAACAGGCGGCGAGAGGATTAAGGAGGATCAGCTTCATAGATCTTACTGCTCTTCCTCAACAGCAGTCACACTCCATTATGTGTGTTATTTAGGCTTATCAGGAAAAAAAATCTATACACCTAACAATGCTGCTGCAAGTTTTTCTTTTTTTTTTTTTTTTGATGTTACAAATCTGAATCTTACGTGGCAAATCAACACAAATGTACAAAATGTACATTAAAAAATTAAGAAATCAGTCCTACTGAGTCAATACTCCCCCACAGCATCATGCAACCACCATCTTTTGTTTCTGCGTATAAATGCATATTGCGTATAAGCAATGAACATATAGGAAGTGACGAATCTTTTTCAAAAAACTATTTTCACGTGGACAAGACTTTAATTGTGATGTCTGAACAAACAGAAATAATCAGCTGCCACACAATGAGGAAAAAGGTATCAGACATATTAACCTATTTCTAAAATATATATTTTTAGGTATCTTGTTGACACAAAATCCACACAGCCCCAGAAAAATAGAAATTATTACAAACTAATTTGCAAATACCACTTATACACAATAAAGTGTATAAGTGTAAAGCTAATGAGAACATTATGCAAATAAGATAAGAAAATGGCTGAAATGTGTTACAGTTTTTAAAGCAATCCTGCCCCCTATTGATAACAAATAATGTTGCCTGGTATAGTCTTTCAGAGGTGCCCAAGTTTAGTACTCAAGAATTATTTTGCAACTTGAACGCATCCCTGCTCCAACACATCTGAATCAAAAACTGATTCAGTTTTTGCTCCTTTGCTCAGGAGCTTTGCAGACTCTTTGCATCCTGATTCATCAAGTATGAATCAGGATTCTGATTCAGAGACCTGGTAATGAGTCATTCATTTGATTCAGGTGTGTTGGAGAAGGGACGCATGTAAATGTTACACACTAGTAGCTCTCAAGAAATAAACTTGGGCACCCTGTCCTAATTCACAGCACAGAAAAAGATCCTTGTGATGGACAATAGAAGAGCTGTTTGATTTTGCAAAAGATACCATTAATAGTTCTAAACTTCTTAATGCTTGGGAGAGGAAAGAACATCATCTGTTTTTCTGTTTTTTTTTTGTTTGTTTTTTGACAGAAAAGTAAAAAAATCAGATGCCACAAGAATTGTCCAGGAGTCAAGGGTGTCTTGCAGAAACAGGAAATCTAGATTGTTTTAGTCCATCAGAGGACTAATTGAAAATGTTTAGAAAGAGCTGAAGATCAAAATGTATAAAGGACTAGAACCTTCAATATTTGTATGTTGTTGTTGTGGAAGTCACACTCGCTCCCAAACACTTTATTTAGTCAATTATTTTTGTATAGGAGACGTTTTAGAGTTTTCATTACCAACAAAGGGTCCACTAAGTATTGGATACATTTCACTAACCATAACCTAATTTGAGTTATGTGTGTCTGAATAATAATTACAACTTAAGAATAATTTCTTAACTACAACTGGCTTACAATTTCTTGTCAATAGGTCCCACGACAAAAAATTGTACAAGTTAAATACTTGTGGTCTCTACAAAAAAGTTTTGAAAATGGAATCCACAAAAAAAGCACAGATTCCACAAAAATTAATGACAAAGAAACTTAATGCATATGTATGCAATGTGCAAACACAAAGAAATGTGTAAAATTCACAAAACACAAATGGTTTGACCATAACGTTACCAAGGCAACCTGCTCATTTACCAAAAAGAGGACACAAAAGAGAGACCGAGTAAGACAAAAAAAATAAATAAATTGGTTCACACATACTGTCTTGTAAAAAAAAAAAAAAAAACAGCAATGCAGATTTACCAATGTTAATGTAACCACGCAAAAGTCCAGACTAAAATTGATATGCAAGTTGAGAAAAAGCCACTAAATAACCATTGCTTTTGTAGTTCGCTTCCCTGACTAAAAAGGAGCATCAGCACCATCTTGTGGTGCATTAGAGAATATAAATAATGGCTGAGATTTTTTTCATATTTCTCATTGTGAAACCTAAAAAGTCTCATCAGTGGACTAAAACACAAATGTGCAATTAATATGCATTTTAACTCTGTAATTATACAATCCAATTCATATTTTAACATTTCAATAATATTTGACAGATCAGTTTTGTTCTTGCTTCAAAGAGTTAAAAGTTTCTGATGCAAAGTGTAAAGCAAAAAAAAAAAAAAAAAAACCACAAACTGTAGTTTAAGTTCAGTTAGTTTTATTTTTAGATTTAAATTCAACATCTTCACACTTTACACTGAAATGAAACAAGCACAATCACAACTAAACTATTGCTGCAACAGCAGAATACAAAAGGGGAGAGATTTTTTTCCCCCACAAAAGTTAAGAATAACTACAAAATATTGTTTATTATTTCCAGTCAAACAATAAAGAGGAAGGAAAGAAGAGACGCTGGCACAATCTCTTTAGGTAATATTTTAGCATATGCAACTTTGAAAAATGTCAGAACGTTTCAATTTTTATGCAGATCCACAAAAGCTAAGTACCTGCATCAACATGAACATTCTCATACAGACACTACTGATCATTAGGGGGAAAAGTTAAATATTGGTACAACATGAAGTCAGAAGTCTTAAAAGAACAGCATGAATTTCTTTAAGAGAGGCTTTCTGGAGTTCATATGGAGCTGACTAGTATCTTGCCTGCTGTAGGTAGCTGATCAGTCTCAGTTCAAGACAAGACATGTTTTTAAATACATAAAATACGAAAATGTGCGTTGTTTTTATTGGTTATCCTGGTAAAAGAGAAATTCCTTCAGTATAATTTTGCATTTCACTTTATTGGGTAGTAAAGTGTGGTGTGTGGTAGTAGAAGAAGGTTACTTGTGTTTACTTCCTGCCTGTGTTTTTCTGCAATGCACCACTTCAACCATAGGCAGTAAATGCTAAGACTGATGGAATCATCTTAAAAACAGGTGAGAAACAGAAGTTTGAGAATAATGTATATTTTTCAAAGCTGATATTGTTGCATTCTCAAAACTAATTGCAATTGCTTGCTTTTCAAAATTGTGCGGCTCTGACTCAGACTGCTGCTGCAGGCAAATTACTATCTGCTCCTAATGTCCCCACAGAACACAGACAATACAAACTCTATCGCAGAGAAAGACTGAGGAAACATTGGGTTGAGACTTTACAGTGGTGATGTTCCAGCAGGAAGTGTTGTCAGCGGTGTGTAGCCCCTTGAGTAAGTTTGGCACGTCTGGCTGTAGACGTTGCTGAGAGGAATACCAAGCTGACGACCTTGCCCTAAACCCTCCTCGGAGTTAAGCGCATAGGGCATCTTGGACATGATGGCCAAACTCAGCTTGAAGAAAACATTACGCAGAGCTGTTCGGTATTCCTTCCTGACCAGACAATAGATGACAGGGTTGAAACAGCTGCTGGTGAAAGCTAAACAGTTGGCCAGAGGGAAGAAGTACGTCTGAGCACTGTAGAACGATTTGCTCATATCAATGATGTCAAGCTGTATCAGGACGCTCCAGAGAGTGAGGACATTGTAGGGAAACCAGCAGGCACAGAAGGTCAGCACCACCACAGCCACAGATTTTGAGATGTCGGCTTTTCGCCGAGTGTTGCTGCTCCCTTTCAGTTTGTGCCTGCAGAGGAATCGCAGCAAGAGCAAGTAGGAGAGGATGATGATGGCGTAGGGTAGCAGAAATCCCAGAACCACTCGCAGGAGTTGGTTTATTCCGAGCCAAGCCGTGCCTTCTGGGAAGCGGAGCAAGCATGCTGTGTCATTGCCGCTGCCCACACGGCTGAGGTCTGCGTACCGGGCCCTGGGTACTGCCACGATGAGAGCCCCAACCCAAATGATAGCTGTGGTTACCGGGAAGGTACAAGATCTGTTGCATAGGGACGATCCAGGTTTGAGAGCTGTTGCCACGTAGCAGTAGCGTGTCAGACTCATAGCTGTCAGAAAAAAGCAACTTGCAAAGACGTTCAGTCCAGTTAGCAAGGACACAGCCTTACATGCAGCTAAGCCAAAAGGCCAACTGTAGTCCAGAGCAATGTCCACCGCCCAAAAGGGTAAGGCAAGAGAAAACAGTAGGTCGGCCAAAGCTAGGTTGAAAACAAAGAAGTTGATGGTGCCAGTGGTGATGGTGTGAGTTGAATAAAGTAGGAACATGACCAGCAAGTTGCCCAACACTCCAGCTGTAGCCACAATGAAGTACACCACAGAGATGAACACTCTCAGCGTTCCATCATCTGGACTCTCCATCCCACTCTCATTGTTTGAATTGTGAAATGACAGCAGAGAGTTGTTGCAAAATGCACCCAAACTGCAACTGTTCAGGAGGTTGTAGAAAACCTCGAGCTTCTTCAAATCAGGATTTGACATGTTTTTAACCCCTAAAACTCACTTTTTTGAGAATAGCCTCGTCTTTTAGAGGAGGAGGTGTTTCCACTTACCCTCTCTGAGACAACTATAAATCAGATAGGCAAGTTCCGGCTTTGCGTTTATTAGATGACAATTGCTCCTGCAAGGAAAGAGGAAATTATAATTACATCATAGACGCAGCAGTTTATGAATAAATAAGTGGATTAGCTTGGTCAGATAAACGAATTTTACTGAAGTGTCAGCCACAGGGTCAGATCATGCTGCCCAGATCTTAATGAAAGAAACAAAGTATGTACATTTTTGATGAAAGTCTCATGGCTGATTTCATTGCCTAATAGAGAAAACATTTCAAGATTTGTTCAGTATAATTTTTAACCATACTTGCTTAAAAAAATTCTTGACTACACAGCATGTACAAACATCCATCCTCTAATAACTCATTACGATGTTCGACTTCAAACTAATCGCATTATTTGAACAGGAGCTGGTCTGCTAAGTAACCCAAATGGGTTTTCCTCAAAGATCTGCCAGATAAAGAATTTTTGATTGAAGATGTTAAATTAATATTATCAATATTAATATTATTAATGAAATCTATAGTTTTTTGTCTCTAGTTTTCTTCTCTGTCTTTTGCTTGTTTGAAATTAAAAAGGCAAGGAACTTGAAAATTGTGCTCAACCCTCCAACATTACTTACTGCATTATTTGTTTATCTATCCAGTTTTCATTTAACCAGCTGTTTATCTAAATTTCTCCCAGTTTTAAAATCTATCACAGTTAATCAGACAAGGTTCCTTAACTACTGAAGACCAGAATCTGTTTAAATTTCCATTTATTTCAAGTAATTTGACTAGCATTGAAATATTACATTCAAATATAAACTAATGTATCTTAATGCAGTCTTGATTGCTATTTTCAATTAAAGAAGGAAAACAAATCTTACCTGGGAAATGAATGATGGAAAACCTTCAGCTGGGCTTACTGTCATCGCTCTGAGCTCTACTGAAGAACACGGAAAATAGCAATCTTCATTGTCCCCTTCCCTTGTTTTAGGCTCCACCTTCCAGAGAAGGATCAACAAGGGTCTCATAAATGGTTGATGATTAACTGTCGAATCCTACTAATATTTAAGTATCAACAATCATATCAGTCTTGTTAAATAAACAAAACAAAACAAAAAACAACTATCAAATGTCAATTTGAAGGGTAAATTAATTTTGTCTGGGAGAAGAATTACATTTTTTATAGAAAGGAATGAGAGGAATGTATTATAACATCTAGATTAGTTTTCAAAAATCAAACATTGACACTTTAATTGGAAGTGATTAGCTATACTGGAGCTAGACTCTGATTGAAGATTAAGCTATCGGTAATCACTACCATGTTACAATGATTAAATCAAGACAGAAGAATCTATCATAAACAAACAAGAAACCGTATTACTTAGAGGGAAGTTCCGAAATTAACCGAGAAGGCAGGTTATCTTTAGCGTTATCAAAATGCGGTTTCTTTGTGGCGTAATTTGTTGCTACAATTACATGGTTTGACATCAAGGAAAGGTTGGAGAGTAAGGACGAGGAAGGCGTTACCTCTCTCACTCACTGCTATATTGATATCCTGTAGCAAATATGTACAGATACTTAAGTACTGGTTCGCTGTGCTGGTCTGTATGCACTTCATTTCACAAGATTATCTGTTATGCAGTGAAGTTTTATGTATAGATAAATATTTGTATTGCACTGCACGTACTGTGATTGAGTTTTCAGTTGTACGTTAGAAACAGTGTTACTATACCTGTGTGGGGATTGTGCTGTCAGTGAAAAGATCCATGTTGGGATCTGCTCCACTGAATAATTTTTCTTTTCCAGGAAATTATAATGTGACATAGTTTCCAACAGCCATTGCTGCATTTTTTACTGCAGCGGTGGCTGCAATAAAACTAAGAAAAACAAAAAAAAAAACAACCACACAAAAAAACTAATTAATTAAACACCAGACTTTTATTATATGTGCTTTATTCTCCTGCACAGTTTAACTTTATCTATTGTATTTGTTATACAGTATTTTGCCTACAGTTAGGCAATGAATGCACTGCAAAAACACAAACTATGATTGGTCTAGAGCAAAGTTTTGGGAATACATAAAATATGACAAAACTAAATTACAGTAAATTTTTTTACCCTAATTCCAACACTCCTCCCAATCCTCATTCTCATCTTCCTTCCAACCCTCCTTCCGACCCCAATTTAATTGAGTCGCTAACCCTTATAACCCTCCTGCCAGACCTGCTTCCAAACATAATTTCAAACCTCTTTCCAATCCTTAATCCAAAATAACTCTGATAGACTTTTTGAGGTAACAGAGAGAATATAAAAAATAAACAGCCATAACAGACTGCGACCAGAATTTAAGCAAAACAATTTAGCTCTTCATGTTGATGAGGCTGTGTGACAAAGCTGAAGTTCATTCAAATTGCTGTAGAGAAAAGGTTTCATATGTCATTATGGGCTAGCTTTGTTTTTGTTTTTTTATAAACTGTCCTGACCTTACATCTTAGCTATGTAAACAATGTTCTGCACAAATTTCTGATACTCTTCAGGTGTGATTTTTGCATTGACTGAAAGTTGTCACTTTCATTTCATCCATTTCTACAGTTTTGCTACATGTGTTTTGCAGGCTTTTGCTTTATTCGGCTGCTTCTGCCTATTTCTTACATTTCTGCACGTCTTCCGCCGTTAACTTCAAATGCTTCTGTAATTTTCACTGAAAATGCACAATGCATTATGGCAGGAATTGCAAATTTTTCTAATTGAAACTTTGTAGACCGTTTTTAAAAGGCATGTATTTGACAAAATGTGTTCTTTTAGATTAACTCAAAATAGATTGGTCGAATTCCCAAGAGTTATGCTAGCAAGATGGTTGTTGATGGATACAAAAAAAATATTGTGACTTCTAAAACCCTTCAAGACTTTAAAAAAACAGAAGGGTAAGCAGAAAAACAAAAAAGAAACTTCTTTTATACTTATGGAGTTTTTTTAACCATGCGTACCTTTATGTCTGACCTTTATCTTAGCGTTGTTCCCTTTGATAAGCTTTGCACATTTATTAACGCATTTCATTCAACATTCAAATAAATTCTAAAAAAAAAAAAGTGTAGCAAGGTATAACAACTCTTATAACAACTCTACATTTTATTTGATTTGCATTTTGTTTTTCTCTTTTTATATGAAAGGCACTGCTTTCAGATTAGACTGGGCGGCAGAAATGATTCTTCATTATAAAACGCTGATAGTGGAAAGAACATCAGCAGTGAATGACTAAATGAGATTAGGATGCAAAAGGCGGAAGAGTGAAGAGTCTGATTTATACTGGTCTGCATGCACGGAGTTTTCATAAATGGACTGAAGAAAACATGCCACTCCCTGAGTTTTCCGCCGGCAGCATCCCGCAGAAACATGTTTCCAACATTAGACGTGCTGTGTAAGAAAAAACAAAAATGAGATATCTGACATCATCTCTATCTAGATGCTTTTTGTTTGATTGGCAAAACTATTTCTAATTGCTAAATGTGAGAATATTTAGAGAAATTAATTTAACACATGCTGAGGTAATTAAAGGAGTCCCATGTTTTTTAAGGTTCTGATTGAGGAACTCCCATTGATCTGTTTTAAAGCAACACCTTAAATATTTTTCTTCTTCGCATTGAAAAAAATCTAATTAAATAAGCCAAAATAAAGAGAATGATGGGCCTTCACATGTTTGGGTTCAATTTCCAGATTTTCCTTCTGCCTATATGCAAGTAGGCATAGACCACTGAATATTTTCAAAGTATACTATGGTTTTTACAATGTTACTGTCAGTGAATAGCTAATCACACCATTGCTATAGTTTAATACATAGTATAATAATAGAGAAAATTGTGGAGAGAACCGTTTGCTGTGTGCATTTCTCAGTATGACGTTGAAGCAGAGAATGGTTTTGTATGGAGTAGAGCGAACAAGTAACCAGACTTCTTGTTCGCCCCCTGAAGACCAATTTTAAGATGAGCACTTCAACATGAATTTTTTATGATATTACAATTAAATTTGAGAATTATAAAAAAAAAAATAACTGCTTAAAGAAATATGTCAATTTCTGTCAGAGTTGATTACTGAAAAACTGTGAAAGTGGTGGAATTTTATTTGACTTTTATATGTTTTACTAATTTTTAATAAATGTTGTTCCAAGTACTTTTTAATAAGCATATGGACTCCATTGCATATGGACTCCATTGTTCCATCAACAAATGAGTTGATGGAACAATGGAGTTGACACAAAATGATCTCTACTGGTCCCATTAATCCAGATGTGTTTATCTGATCACTTAGAGCTCATCGCTGCAGGTGACAGCGAACAGCAACGGTGAAAAACTGCTCAACTCCTCAAACAACCAACACCTGCTTAGATGAATGGTCCTCTCTGCTTTAAACTTCAATTTTTCAATGCACAACAGTGACACCCACTGGCTATCTTAGGGTTGTTCACAAAACTAAAAAATGGCTTCCTCAAATGGAGTGCCCTAGTTTGATTGTCAAGCAGAAAACTTCCCGAAGGACCGTTAGTTTAAGGAATTCATTCACACTGTTAAATGCAGAATGTAAAAAAAAATATTAGGCAATATTATAAAAACAATTTGAAGCAGACCCCCAAATGCTGAAGCAAGACTGACAGCTTAAGATACCAATGGAGATGATAAGGCCACTGGACAAAAGCAGCAGAGTGGAAGAGAATGAATATACATATTTTGTGATGTATATGTAACTTGTTCTACTTCTAGATAAAAAACAACTACTTTCTGGTAAAGTAGTTGTTTGAAGCAACCGCCACGTTACTTCAAGATGAAGTAACGTGTACCTGGTGTGACATATGACAGAAATTATTTGTTGTTAAGATGGATGAGATTGACAATAACACATCTGCTGACATTTACATATACTTACATATTTACATAATTTTTAGACACTCAGAAATTGAAAATACGACTTTATCTACATGTCCACTTAAGCAAATAGAACTTTGCTAAAAGTATTTTTTTACTGCCGTATTCTTTGTAATGTTACTCAGTATATTTGGTCTTATTTATTCATTTAAATAATATTTAGTAGACAGAGGTAACTTGTCTTTGTGTGAAGCGCCTACACGTTTAGAGAGGTGGGGCTAATTAAACTCTATTCTTGAATTTTATCTGAAATCTGTTCAAGTATAAATACATTTTTTTTTAAATGTTTATTTTACTGTACTTTCAGCACAGCAGCATCATTCCACAGCTGTGGACACACGGACTTGCTAGATGTTTTGTTATTATGTGGTGTTCTCTTCCTAACACGACTGTGAGCAGGAATTAAACCTGCTACATAATTTAACTCTCCGGTAAAGAGCGTTAAATTACTTCTGCTGTGATCTGGCACCTTAATAGGAAATAACTTGATCTTCAACAGAACCCACTGTCCCTCCCTGACAATATATGCTTATAAGGAAAACAATTTAAAAAAACTGTAGGAGATAATAGATACTCTTTAAATTATTAAGTAACTATTATTTAATAAATTGTAGCATAGTTGACCTTCAGTAGTGCTCAACATTCTTTACATTTGTTTTGTTATTTAGGGATCACATAACCTCCTAATTGAAGGTTGACGACCCCCAGTGGGATCCCCACCCCATTGTTTTAGAACCGCTGTTCTAAAACTACCTTAATCTAATCTGAACCTCCGCGCACGCGCCCACCCTTCACCCCTCAGCGAATGGGACAGACCCGCGCGCTCACGCACATATCACTGTTGCTCGTTATTAACGTTAATAACGTTATCTCTCGCGTCACTCACGTCTTCCCCCCCCCCCCCCCTCCCCCCCCCCCCAACAACAACGGTCTGCCGCTGCGGAGCCTCCTGAGGACGGAACTGCGGTTCAGGTGCACCGCTGTGATTTAAATAACAACTCAAGTTTATTTTAGCGCTGCGAGAAGAGAAGAGAAGAGAAGGAGACGAGGAGAGATTAGCACAGTGCTGAAAGACAGCTCTCTGATTTGTCGACAAGTGTTTATCCGCTGAAGGGAGCTCGCCATTGTTTTATCTGTGATGGGATTCCTTCAGGAGCAACCTGCCGCCTGACGTTAACTCCCCTGCTGGAGGTAAGAGCTGAAGCTAGGCGACAGTTAACTGACAAAACACAGTGTTTCCTTGAGGCGCAGGATGATGTGCTGGCTGGGACACTTTGTTATTAGAGTTAGTGTCGGCGAAAGTTAACTACAACATCCCATCTAACTATTATGGATGTCAGTTACCAGTGCGGCACTCGGCGAAGTCCCATCTTAGCCCACTCAAACAGCCGTTGCAGGAATAATTGGTGATTAATCACACGTTTGTGAGCGCCTTTGTTGTACCAGCAATAAGCGAACATGTTCAACGCTGCTGAACTAGTGTTAGGTGAGCGCAAACGGGACAGACAACAAGGCTGCCATTGTACCGGATCAGAGGCGGATTAACGGAATTCCTTTTCTCTGCACTGTCTGAACGGCCTCCAGCCCCTCTCTCTCTCTAGTCTCTGTCGGTTCTAGATGTTTTGAGAAGCTCTCACCTCTTGAACTTTTTAGAAACTAAACTTGAACTCCACCAGCAGGCATGCACGCACTGATGTCAAAATGAAGATGTTGGGGAAACATGTGGATGGGGACAATGCTTTTAAAAGGCATTAGCTTCCCGAATTGTGATCCAGACACAAGAAGACTTACAACTGTAACTTAATGTGCATTTTTCTTAATTGGTATCTTATTAAACATGTCTTAAAGTGAGGTATGTTTATAAAGTATTTAGGATTC